GGCATATTCACTGCAGCACTTTAAAAGCATCATCTTTCAGGATTTTAAATAGCTCAGCTGGAATTTTATCACCTCCATAAGCTTTGTTTTTAATAATGTTTCCTAAGGCCCACTTGACTTCATCAAAACTGGGAAAGGTACATCAAGTCTATTTTAAAAGGGTTAAATAAGCAGGTACATCACCCTGCTTATTTAACTTATATACAGAGTATACCATGCGAAATGCTGGGCTAGGTGACTCACAAACTGGAATGAAGATTGCAGAGAGAAATATCAACAACCTCAGATATGCAAATGATATGACTTTAATGGAAGAAAGTGAAGAGAAACTAAAGAGCCTCTTGATGATGAAGGTCAAAGAGGGGAGTGAAAAAGTTGCCTTAAAACTCAACATTCAAAAAACTAAGATCATGGCACCCGGTCCCACTACTTCATGGCAAACAGAAGCGGAAAAAGTGGAAAGAGTGACAGATTTTCTTGGGCTCCAAAATCACTGCAGATAGTGACTGCAACCATGAAATTAAAAGACGTTTGCTCCTTAGAAGGAAAGCTATGACAAACCTAGACAGCATATTAAAAAGCAGAGACATCACTTTGCAGACAAACATCCATCTACTCAAAGCTATAGTTTTTCCAGTACTCAGGTATGGATGTGAGAGTCGAACCATAAAGAAGGCTGAGCGCTGAAGAACTGATGCTTTTGAACTGTGGTGCTAGAGAAGACTCCTGAGAGTCCCTTGGTCTGCAAAGAGATCAAACCAGTCAATCCTAAAGGAAATCAACCCAGAATATTCATTGGAAGGACTGATGCTGAAGCTAAAGCTCCAATACTTTGGCCACCTGATGTGAAGAGCCAACTTACTGGAAAAGGCCCTGATGCTGGGAAAGATTGAGGGCAAGAGGAGAAGTGGTTAACAGAGGATGAGATGGTTGAATGGCATCACTGACTCAACGGACACGAGTCTGAGAACACTCCAGGAGACACTGAAGGACAAGCATGCCTCGTGTACTGTAGTTCATGGAGTCGCAAAGAGCTGGACACGACTAAGTGACTGAACAACAACAGATTTGGACACCAGTTTCCATGTTGAGCTGCACTTTGGAAAGCAACATTTGGTTCCACCCTAAGGTGGACAGTGGGACTCAGAGACCACTTACAGTAATGACCTCCATATAAGATAACATACAGTATATGGGAAACGGAAGGTTCTGCTGAGAAAGAAATCCATAATGAGACAGTCGTTCTATCATTGATGGGTATTGTAACAATAATACCTTCTGTAAGAATGACACAGGCGTTTGGTGCAATTACAGTAGAGTCAGGAAACAGTAATTAAAAAAAAACAAAATGTATAGTAACATTCATGTAGACAACTATATGTACAGGAACTCATTCCTCCCCACCCCTCCCCATCCCACTCTCTTGTAGAAGTTGAGAACAGCTGGTCTGAGTACAAATTGAAGGAAAAAATCTGAACTCATCTAGCAGGTCTTGCCAAAGAGTGCTAAAGAATTCCACTGAGTACAGACAATGATAGACAAGGGAGGAGCGAAAATAGTGCAACGTTTCCCAGACAGACTATGCAAACACTGTGAAGGAATCAGTGGGCTTTCTTGTCTTTTCCAGTCCACGGGATATTCTAATTAAAGAGAAGGCCACATTGTAGACCAGAAACCAAAGCTAATCTTAACCAACTTTTTTTTTTAATGTGAATCACTTAATTTGTAAAAAGCAAAAGTTTGTGACCCCTCTGTACCACTTCTGCACCTGCCCACATCTTAAAAGATGGCCCCTCTGAGTTTCCATGTTACAGAACACAGTGCTTCCTTGCCAGTGACTTGGATGCACCACAGTCACTTTCCTTTGGCATCCCACCCAAACTTTGCTTCCAATCCTTTAAACTTACAAACAAATGACAACAAAAAAATACACCTCCATGGCAAGGACACATAGATAACACACACATATGTATGTACGCATATATATGTAAAGTACATTCCAGTTTGTGACTAGCCTATTCATTTTTATAAAGGTACCTTCTGATGAACAGAAATTTTAATTTTCATAACATCTCTTTAACCAAATTTTTTTTTCTTTTATGGTTGTGGCATCCTATGTCCTATCTAAGAAATTTTTGTTGCCTACCTGAAAGTCACAAATATTCTATGAGTTTGTCTAAAAGGCCTTTTGGTTTTCACTTTTACATTAAGGCCTATGATCCATCTCAAATTAATTTTTTGATTTGGGTGAGACAGCAGTTGAAGTTCATTTTTTTCCCCTCTATATGAATAGCCAATAGTCCCAGCATCATTTGTTGAAAACATTTCCCAATCCTCATTGAACTGACTTTGTGCCTTGGTTGAAAATCAATTGATTAAATAAGTATGGGCCAATTTCTGTATTACATTGCATTCCATTGATCTATTTGTGTGAAGTGAAGTGAAGTCGCTCAATCGTGTCCGACTCTTTGCGACCCCATGGACTGTAGCCTACCAGGCTCCTCAGTACATGGAATTTACCAGGCAAGAGTACTGGAGTGGGTTGCCATTTCCTTCTCCAGGGGACCTTCCCAACCCAAGGATCGAACCTGGGTCTCCCGAGTTGCGGACAGACGCTTTACCGTCTAAGCCACCAGGGAAGCTGTAAAATCACACAGTACTGACTAACGCAGTTTTATAATAAATCTTGGAGCTTTGCAGGTGGTGCTAGTGGTAAAGAACTTGCCTGCCAATGTAGGAGACATAAGAGACTCGGGTTCGATTGCTAACTAGTTCAGTTCAGTTCAGTCGCTCAGTCGTGTCTGACTCTTTGCAACACCATGAATCGCAACACACCAGGCCTTCCTGTCCATCACCAACTCCCGGAGTTTACTCAAACTCATGTCCATCGAGTCGGTGGTGCCATCCAACCATCTCATCCTCTGTCGTCCCCTTCTCCTCCTGCCCCCAATCCCTCCCAGCATCAGAGTCTTTTCCAATGAGTCAACTCTTCACATGAGGTGGCCAAAGTTATTCTGCTTTTGAAGACAAGCAGTAGTAATGGAGGCATGATAACATGAATATCCCTGAATTGTACACTATATGTGGTTAAAATGGTAAATTTTATGTTACATGTATTTAACTCGAAGAAACAAAAAAGAAATCTTTCCCAGAAACAACATAGCCTCCTATATTTTTTTCTAAATATTTTTCAGGTGTGTTTTTCACACTTAGGTCTTCAGTCCATTTGGAAATTACTGTTGTAAATGATGTGAAGTAGGAATCCAATTTTGTCTTCAATCCATATGGATACCACATAGCTCAGCATCATTTACTGAATACACTGTGCTTTTATACTACTATTTGGTGGTATACTTCCATATGTATATGAGCATGTTTCTAAGCTCTCTCTTCTGTTCTATGGGTTTACTTTCCTGTCCCTAAATCAAGACCAGTAATTAAGCCAGGAGTCTTGATTACTATGGCTTTATATTGTTTTGATACCTAGAAGGCAGAGACTTTTCTTCAAAATTGAGTTAGGAATTCTGGGTGCTCTGTCTTTTCATAGACATGTTAGGTTCAACATATCAGGCTCCATGAAAACTCATATTCCAATTTTAATTAGAATTTCAACAGATCTGTAGATTTGGAGAAAATGGACATCTTTATGATGCTGAGTCTTCCTACCCCATGAATATGGTGAGTGATAGTCACTCAGTTGTGTCTGACTCTTTGCAACCCCATGGACTGTAGCCCGCCAAGCTCCTTTGTCCATAGAATTCTCCAGGCCAAGAATACTGGAATGGGTTGCCATTTCCTTCTCCAATGAATATGGTATATAGCTGCATTTACTTGGGTCTTCTTTTATGTGTTTCAATAGAGCATTATAATTTTCTCCTTAAAGGATGATGCACCTTTAGTTTGATCTATTTCTAGATACCTTCAGTTTTCAATACTGTTATGAATAGCATCTTTTTATTATTAAAATTCCCAGTTATTGTGGGTGTATAGAAGTTACTCTTTCATTCAGAAATCTGTTTGAACTGAAGGCCATTTTGGATGACCTCTTAACAAAAGAAGCCCTTCCAGTCCATCTTTATCACATCATATCAGTTAACTTTCTAGTTATCTGATTTTTAGTGTCCTTTTCCCTGCCTGTAATTAGTTGCTAGCTCACCACTGTAAGTTCAATGTCTAGAATAGGGTCTGACATATACCGCACAAAATGTTTATTAAGTAAAAAAATGGAGATTTTAAATCTGGATGATTTGGAAAAACATGGAAAGAAAAGCAGATTTTGAAGTGAAGGTGAAGTGAGATCTAATTCAGGTTGGGAGGCATTCTTTAGAGTTCTCACAGGTCATTAATGTGCAGGCATCTGGCCACCACCTGGAGCACAAGAATGGAGGTTTGATGTGATGGAACCGATGAGACAGTGAAAGAGGAGAATGCATTCAAGAAGGAAAAAAGAAAAAGAGAGAATATATCTAGGAACAAATAGACTTGGGGCAGATTAGAGAGAGGGAAGGAGCGAGCATGCGCAACAGCATGGCCACCAACCGGACGGGAAAGACTTGAAGCAAAGAAAGAGGGAAATAAATGAAAGAGCTAGGTTCCTAAATCACACGAACACACAATTGGAGAAGTACGATTTCACCTAAGTAACAGAAATCAAGAAACCTCATTTCTCGACTGGTAAAAAAGACAATTAGAGAAAGAGAGCTCCAATACTCTGCGACCCCATGGACTGCAGCACGCCAGGCTCTGTCTTCCACTGTCTCCTGGAGTTTGCTCAAGTTCATATCCATTAGGTCGGGTCATGCTATCTAACCATCTCATCCTCTGATCCCCTTCTCCTCCTGCCCCCAGTCTTTCCCAGCATCAGGATCTTTTCGAATGAGTGGACTCTTCGCATCAGGTGGCCAGAATATTACACTACAGATCCGAATCTGGGGAAGGAAGTAATTTTAGAACTCTCTGGGTCTTTCCTCCGGGCTCGGAGGACCCATCAGCATTCAATCTTATTCATCCTTTCGCGTGACAGCTATAGAAGCTGTGGTCTGAAAGGTTCCGATCTGAACTGCGGAGACTTGTTTCCTCCTCATTTTCACCATCCTTCCTGTGGCCGACAGTACCGGCAGGTGCTCTCGGCGGCCGGGGACTAGAATTAAGATGAGGGTGGCGACCGGGAGAGCAGAGCCGGGCTGCCGAGGCGGGGAGATAGGCCCTCACCTGACGCCCAGCGCCAGGTCAGCGGGTCAGCCAGGGGCCGCGCGCCCTCACTGGGGCGCCCCGGCAGCGCCGCGTCGCCTCCCGCCCCATGGCCCGCAGTGCCCGGCTTCGCCAAGGCCCGCATCCGCCCCCGACCCACGAGCCCAACCTGCCCTTCCTTACCTGCCGGCGCGCGGAGGCGGCCACAGCCCTCTGGCTGCTCAAGCAGAAGCGAGTCAGCGCGGAGCCCACCCGGACCCACAGCTCCCAGTCCCCGCCCCTCCACCGGCGGCGGGCAGCACGTGACCTCGCCCTCACCTCGCCCCGCCCCGCCCAGAAGCCCCGCCCACGTCCCGCCGGCACGCCTCACCCGCGAGGCCGTCGCGGTCGCGATGACGTAAAGGCGCATGCGCACTCTGTCGTCGGTGCTGAGGTGCTGAGGCGCTGAGGGGTCCGTGGGTGGAAGGTGCGTGGCGTCGGCTCTCGGAGCCATAGGGGAGCCGGGGGTGCGTGGAAGCTCTGTGGGTTTCCAAGGAAAAAAGAGAGGGGAAAGTCCCAGAAACCTGTCTTTCAGGTTGCGAGGATACAGGATTCTGTCCTGTCTCTTTCTGACGAGGCCGGGCGGCTGCCCCGCGGCAGTTGAAGTGTGCATTTCTTTTGCGGGTCATTGCCCAGCGCCCAGGTGTGGAAGTTTAATAAGAGTTAATTTGGCGTGCGCTGAATGGGTTCCTTGCCTTCAAGCACACGTCACCGGGGTACACATTTTATTTGGCAAAGTAACACAAGATCCGGAGACACAGATTGTTTTTCTGCAGGTAGATGCGACTTAAATCTCTTTGCTCCTTCTCATCTGTAAAACGAGATGGTCGGAGCCCCATATAATTTTTAAAACCCCTTGCGAAGCTACCGTTCTGTGACTCCTGTCTCCGAGAATTTTACCTTTTATCATATTTCCGGGTAGGGAAAAGAAATCTTTTGAATTATGACCGTGTTTGAAACCTGGATTGGCCACATTGCTGTGCAATTAGGCCCCATTAGGCTTTCATTAGGATTGACTGGGGGTGGGATTTGTTTGCAAATAAGATTTGTGCATTGTTACTATCCCAGATAGACTCGTTTCAATTTTGTTAAAAGATCAGAATGTCAGGATGTTTTCCTGATGTTAGCTCTATGTCTTTCATAGACTTATATGTTTAGTCTTGGCATTTAATTTTTTGCCTTTGTTCAGAAGTAAATCACCAAAGGATACTGAAGTTAATGCCTTTGTATTTTGTCACCTTAGGCTTTTGTTAGCATTTTTAGAGTCATCAGCACCTTCTGACTGGGAAAAGATGGTCAACGTCTTGAAAGGAGTGCTTATAGAATGGTTAGTAGTTTTGATACTTACTAAGTTTTAAATCTGCACATTGAGTCTTTTTGTTTGTTTTGCACATTGAATCTTGATTTGCATGTGTGCTGTTTCCAAAATCATTTAGTTGTTTTGTTCTTAAGATCTGAATGAATCAAGTCTTTGAGCTTTCTCAACTTCATTTTTCTCACTTAGTAACTAGTGGGACAAATTTTGTTGCTGAGTCTTTTCTTAGTGCCAGTTTTCAGCATCTCTGTTGAATTGACGTAATTGGCGTTATTTCCAACAAGTTTTGGTCAGTGGCAGGTAGCATATTTGTTAAATTAATCCTCTTTAGGGGAACAGTGCTTGTATTTTCAAATCACCAGGGATTAACTAGAATTTTAGGGCTTGCCAAAGTCACACAAACTTTGGTCTTTAAAGAAGAGAAAAAAACAAGAGAGCCATTTGAAGTTTTCTTAAACTAGGCACACATTCCAAAGGAGAAACTAAAAGCTATGGGCAGAGTTAGCTCCTTAAAGCTAAAGTAGGGCTCAATTATCCCCAGTTTGAAAATCTGAGGACCAGTCTTGCTCGGTCTCTGCTTTTTTTTGCCCCACCAAATAGTTCTGTTTCATCTGGGAATCCTGCCCTGATTGTCTGAAAATACTACTGTCTACATTTCTTTACCTCTAATGTGAGCCTTCATATGAATGATGATACTGTTTCTATGGTGGCACCATTCAGGGAGGAGCAAGACCAAACCCTCGGATACTCTGACATTTCAAGCAGCACCATCCAGTAGAAATATAACATGAGTCACATATTTAGTCTTAAGGTTTCTAGTAGCCACACTGAAAAGTAAAATTAAACAGGTGAAATTTATTTAACTCAGTATACCTGAAGTATTTCACCAGGTACAAAATCCTCAAATTTCACACTGACACTTCAGAATGGTATCAAGTCTTTTTCCATACTAGAGCTTCAAGATCCAATGTCTCCTTTACTCTTTCAGCACAGTCACAGGCTTGCTGCATTTCAAATGCTCATTAGTGACGTGTGACTAGCAGGCTGCTTTATGGATAGTGCAGATTTAGCTTGAGTGGAGAGACCACCAAAGGCAATTAAGAAAACAGCCAATGAAGTAGGAGCGAACCTAAGGGAACATTTCACTAAAGCAAGTAGGCTGTGTTAAGTGGTGGTGAGAGGTGGAATAAGATGAAGACACACTGGACCTAATTGATTTTTTTTTTCATTTTTTTTTTTAAATCAGAGCTCCACTAATTTAGTGAAGAGGTGGAATAGATACCTCAGAAAGGGGAAGGGAGGGAAGGAAGTGGAGACTGTTTGTCTTGATAATGAACAAGTGAAGTCCCTCAGTCGTGTCCGACTCTCTGCAACTCCATGGACTGCAGCACGCCAGGCTCCTCCCTCCATGGGATTTCCCAGGCAAGACTCCTGGAGTGGGTTGCCCTTGCCTTCTCCAGGGGATCTTCCCGACCCAGGGATTGAACGCAGGTCTCCCGCATTGCAGGCAGGCTCTTTACTGTCTGAGCCACCAGGAAGCAAACGGAGAGAGAAATGGGTTGGTAACAGAAGAAGGATTTGTTAAGGGACTCTGCTGCTTGTTTCTTTCACTGTTTTAACATGAGAGACTAGATTTTTTGGTGATGAAAGTAAACGCTAGAAATGAGAGAAACATTCACTTGGGAAAGCCAAGGGACGGATCTAGATCTCAGAATTCCAAGCATACTGTGCTGTTGTCTTTTGGAAATCACTTCTGAGCCACTTTTTGTTTTTTATTTTTCTTACTACTTTGTCGTCACTAATGAAAACATTTTCCTGGTTGGTCCTTTAATGTTATTTTTTAATACAGAGGATCCACACACACATTGTCAGCTGTTTTTCCCTTTTATTTCTTACAGTTCTTCCAAATGTAATCTTCCTTCTGGATTTGATCGGTATTCACCTCTCTTCTAGGGTCTTCATATTTTTCTTTTTTTTTTTCATATTTTTCTTTTGATTGATACTTTGCATTTCATTTGTCTGGAATTTAATGAGAAGAGGGGCATATTAAATTAGCTGTCTTTTTGGGTGCGGGGAGGCAAATAGCTGAATAATTGTCCAACAACATTTATTTCCTTTCCTCATGATCTGTGATGGCTCTTTTATCATATCATCTTTCTGTCCTTGCCGCCACTGCTGCTGCTGCTGCTGGTAAGTCGCTTCAGTCGTGTCTGACTGTGCGACCCCATGGAGTGTAGCCCACCAGACTCCTCCGTCCATGGGATTTTCCAGGCAAGAATACTGGAATGGGGTGCCATTGCCTTCTCCATCTGCCCTTGCTGTGCTCCTTAATCCCATCCCACATCCGTTTTTTGTCATTCTTACCTATTCAAGAATAACCTGGGAATAATTTAGTTTGTTTCCAAAATAGTCCTTTTGGAATGATGGTTGGAATTGTATTACACACATGCATATGTATATTTTAATGATAGCTGGGAAGCATTTTAAAGAGCAAACTTTAGGAGACTCATTAAAGTTTTGGTGGTAGGCTTTCAGTTTTAGCCCTAAGAACAGAGAGCACAAATTTGTAAGAGGAACTGAGGGTTTTTTCCCTGATGGGGTGAGCTCCCACTGGTTTGCTTGTGATCAGCCTCGAAATTGTTCCTGGGCACTAGTGGCCTTCTGTCACCTTGTTTTTCCATGTATTGCCCAGACTAGCAACACCAGCACCATCTGGAGCTTGTTAGAAATGAAAATTTTCAGCCCTCACCCCAAATCTACTTAGTCAGAATTGTGCATACAAAAGGATTTTAACATAGTGCTCTTAATCAGCCGAAGTTTGGTAATCAGTTTCACAGTGAAGAACTGGTTTGCACCAAGACTAGATTTTATTTTTCAGATGGATGCTATTCCACGCCAGGGGCTTCCCTGATGGCTCAGTGGTAAAGAACCCACCTGCAAGTATGGGAGACCCAACAGACCCAGGTTCGATTCCTGGGTCAGGAAGATCCCCTGGCAACTCACTCCAATATTCTTGCCTGAAAAATTCCATGGACAAGGGGTCAGAAGAGTCAGACACAACTTAGTGACTAGGCAACAACAACTATCCTTGCAAAACTTAATTTTCCCCTTCAAGGTGAAACGTAAAGTGTAGCCTGAACGATTTTTCAAAAGGGCAGCTGTCTTCCCAAAGATCCAGATCTTCCAAGAAGACTCCAGGCCTAAGCAATAATAGAGTCATAAAGGGCATGGCCAGGGCCAGTGGCCCTTCCTTCATGAGTGGGTGCACCTGTTGGGATGGTGGTACCCGAAAGAGTCCTTCAGTCCCCTCATGTCTATACTTGATGCCAAAGGGAAGACTGTTCATAATACAACAGCAGCTGTATACTTCTGTTTATCATCTCATAATATTCATAGATGTATGAAGCACTTAGGTGAATTGGAGTACAGATCTACATTAAAAAAATAAATAGTGTATAACATTGACCATTTAGTCCCAACTGTCAGTGAATTGAAAAATTGAAAAGTACATGAATATCGTAAGATTCTTTCTTCCCAACGCTTATCAAATACCAGAGTCTAAAGATTTTCATATTTTTTTGTCAAAATGAGGTTGGTGAAAACTTCCTGTTTGTTGGGATCCACCTTTGTCGTTGACTGCCAGCCTCACACCAAGAGTTTCCCGAATGGAGCCAACCACAGCAGTTACTGAAGCAAGCCGCATATGCTCAGCTCATGTTTGCGTCCGATTGCAGGTGCTCGAGCAGACCTCTGGTGTGATACTTAATCGCAGTTGGTTTGGCAAGTGCTTCAGCGAGGAAGATTTGTAGTACAGGTGCAGATTCCAGCCAGTTCACAGCACGAGAGCAAAGAATCTGGAGAAGTAGGTAGTATTAGACCAGTCTTGTCCTTACACTTTTGGCTTCCAAACCTACATTCTATATGAAAAGCAAATCAGAACTAAGGTCAAACCAGTCTAACCACTGTCCTATTCTTTCACGGTATTTATAATGTCTTTTGTGAGCCTTTGCTTTCTATTCTTAGCAAGGCCACATTCACTGAAGTTTCTTGGGCACCCAGAACAATGCCTGAGATATATATAGAGAGAGCTACTTAGTAAATATATGTTTATTGAAAGAATTTTGGTAATAAAATTGAATCAAGGGGTATAATCTCACTTTAAAGTCCAGATTATTAGTGTTCCTTTAGAGCTTCTCTACTACTACAGTGAGAACTAGAGTGGGTCTTGATAGGTTGAATTCAAGTTTCAGTACAGAAAAGGTTTGTACAATAGGCCTCCTTTTTGGTAAGTTACATCA